AAACACACACATACATACACACATACACACACACCCCACACACATACACACACACACACCACACACATACATACACACACATACGCACACACCATACATGTATATACATATATATGCATACACACACATACATATATATATATATATATATATGTCAGTGAAAATCTTGGAAACCTTATGCTCAGTGCCATAATGGCATCATTTTTCAAGATAACTTGGGCCTGATAGGCTCGGGTTTTAGTCATTAACCATTAACTGTAATTGTAGTTTTTCTATATTCTAATCTTTAGTTGATGTTACAGAAGGATGATGTTAGTAAGGCACCTCGTTTTATATTTAGTGAAATTAAAAAGTGATAAAATAGAATTCTATATTTTTAAAAATAATTTCTTTATGTCTGTTTTTGTGTATGAATGTATTACCTGCATGTGTGTAAGTGTACTCATGCAATGCCCACAGTGGTCAGAAGAGGGTGATAGATCCCCTGGAACTGGAGTTACAGATGGTTGCTAGCCACCTTGTGGGTGTCAGGGTTTGAACCCAGGTCTTCTGCAAGATCAGTCAGTGTTCTTAACCATTGATCCATCTCTCTAGCCCAAAATATTAATGTTATATTAATTAGAAAGTTTTAAAGAAAAACTCCCAATTTGTTTGGTTAAAAAATATGATGAATGTAATTTAAGTTGACTGACTTGTGGTTATTTATAGGTTTACCTAAAAATGATATGGTTACGCACCTTAAAAAATCAGTGACAGATTTCAAACAAGAGCTGCCTATCATCATAGCACTGGGAAACCCCTGCCTCAAGCCACGGCACTGAGAGCTTCTACAAGAGATCACTGGAAAGTCAATTTCCCTTGATAAACACCTCTCAGTAGAGGAACTTCTATCTCTCAAGGTAAATAAGTTTGAAAAGAATATGTTAAAATAGTACAAGAGGCCAGTTTGAGGTGCACACAAGTAAGCGTTCAGAGAACATAAATTAGAAACCAGGGAGTTGTGCAGAGTGTCTGGGAAAGTAAGGGAGTTTTAGATAATAATTGATAATAGTTTATGAATGCTCCCTCTAAAACCATAAGCCAAAATAATCTTTTCTATAAGTTGCCTTGGTCATGGTATTTTATCATAGCAACAGAAAAGTAACATATGTTCAAGCTTTATTCAAAATTAAAGTGCCAAAAAAATGTTTCTCCGCCTCCCAAATTCTTTCCTTCTGCCCTTCCTCCCTCTCCATCCCTCCCTCTGCCCTCCTTCCCTTGGTTATTGGCAACTCATTCTTGACACTGCTTATAGTAAAAGTCATGAGCTAACATTTGCTGCTTTTCCTGTTGTCTTCTCCTCTATCTAAATCTCTTGTTCTTTCCTGGCTTACTGCCAGAGCCTCCTAACTGGTTTATGTACCAAAGAGGAATTCAGCAAGAATTCAGTGACAACAGCTGAGTCGCTTCAAAGCAACATGCTGAAAATCTCAAACATGTCCAACATTGTCATTTCAGTATTTTGGATCATAGAAATGATCGCACAACTTAGGTTAAGGCTGAGAATTTAGAAAACTACAAGCAGGAACATACAATAAAAGTCAGGATGAATAGACAACACAGGGCAGCAACTGATGGCCTACATGGATCAGTGTCCCGTGATATCCCTGTAGTATCCCTATGAGCCATCCCTGCCTTAATAATATGATGGATAGTTCAAGAAGAAAGTCTGCTGGGGCCGGGCGTGGTGGCGCACACCTTTAATCCCAGCACTTGGGAGGCAGAGGCAGGCAGATCTCTGAGACCCAGGCCAGCCTGGTCTACATAGTGAATCCAGGCCAGCTGCAGCTACAGGAAGACCCTGTCTCAAAAAGACCAAAACAAATTTTTTAAATAAAAATAAAAAATAAAAAGAAGAAAATCTGGTACAGATTCTGGAAGCTATAAATCAGTTGAGCTTGAACAAAAGGTGAACAGAGTCTTCAGCTATCATGGTTCATAGCCCTGAGCTAGAAGATCCCACTCTTTAAGTCATAACAGCAGAACAGATGAGGAAGCAATCATCTAGGAAACCCCACTGAACTCTTCAGGGGTTCTGAGTGTGGGAGGGTTGGTCAGCCACTATAAACCTGCCAGCTTGGGCTGGAGATACAGCTTAGTGGTAGAGCCTGGCATGCATGAGGCCCTAAGTACAACTCCCAACACTACAAAAAGAAAAAATATCTGACAGCTTATCCAGATTAATGCAAATGCCAAGTAGATCCAAGTAGAGTCGTCCTTCATTTACAAAACCTACCTTTCTTGGGCTTGACCCAGAGATGAAAAATCATGCTGCAAGATTTTCTAGGCTAAGCATTAGCCCTTTCAGAATCAATGCATCCATTTATCCGTACAATAATTTGTGATGTATGGCAAATATTCTGCCAAAGAGGTGAGGGCTCTTGAAAGCCTGTGTCATGAAAAGCATGTCATAAAGTAAACTGGGAGATGAGAAAGAGACACTATCACTTTATTTGCACTCTAGAAAGTTTTCCATTCTAAGGTAATGATCAATAATTCATTATAACCATTAAGATTCAACTAAAACCTCACCAACATCCCGAATAATTTGAAGACCCACCTCTATCAAAGTTTGACCATAAAGACTTGACAGAGCTGGATTCATGTGGCTGAAGTTTTTCCTTAACTGTTATCTGTGTATGGATTTCATTTTTAACAATCTCAGAGTATATTCGGCACAAAGGTTTTTCTTCAGCACCAAACTTGTATATAGTATTGTGACTTTTATTTATTTAGCTTTTATTTACTTCCAGTGCTGTTGGTTAAGTCCATAAGCAGTCAGCCTATCCTACTACTTTTATGCCATTTTTGGCGACCTGTAACAAATGGTGAAAGTTAGTCATGCTTGGTTCGTAATCCCCACTTAGCTGCACTACCAAATCATAGAGATTAAGCATCATTTTTTAGCCCTTGGAGATTACATACTGCATTCCGTTTCCTAATCAAGGATAAAAAAAAAATCCCAAATAACTAATTCCGAAGACAGAGATTAGGAATCTTTCTGATATTCTAGGATGGTGAGTGAATCCACAGATTTTTATATCAGTATCTTGTCTGGGATCTGGCAGTCAGTGCTCATGGGGTGAAGGCCTGTATATATTCTATTAATGCATTTACGGAGACACTTATCCCTGAGGATACCTGGTAAAGAAAAAAAAGGGCGGAGAAATCTGGGCCCATCAGATGGATGGACCTGGATGAATATACTCTAATACTCTAAGATTCTTTATAGAGTGAAAGCTTATCACAAAGTAAGAAGTTGGCATCAGTGCAGAGGAAATAAGGAAATACTACCATCTGCACATACATAGAAAGTGTGTATTATTTACAGACTGGAATAAGAGGAAAATTAGAAATTTTCATAGATTGTGAACAGAGGGAAGTGGGTAGAATGAGTAGACTCTAAAGGGGCCACATCAAAGGGGGCCGTGAAGGCTCCGGTGGTATGTGAATCTCACTGCAGTCAGACCTTAGTTCTTCTGATGAAACCTTCTGAATAACCTCTCAAGACATAGGTTTAAAGCTTCCTTTTACATGCTTTGGAAATGATTTGCTCCACTGGCTATTAAAGAAAAATTTCTTCATTTTAGATGTTTCTATATGAAGGTAAAATAAATGAAATATCGATCTCAGCAACTAATGAAGCTGCTCTTGAAAAAATGCTATTTAAGATTATCGAGCTCTGGAATGCCTCTCCCTTACATTTAGTTCTTCATCACACAGAGGCCTACTCTATCCTAATCATTTCATCTATAGATGACACAATAGCTCAGCTAGAAGACTCTCAAGCCATTCTTACAACAATTAAAGGATCTTCCTATCTTGGGCCAATTAAGGTAAATACTAGGACAAAGACTTGGAAATGGTTTCCTTTTTTACCATCTCTCTTGTTAATTTTTGCTTTCTATAAATTCAATTATATGAATCTTTCATATGCTTATATAGAAGATGGAATACTTACTAATGTGAACAATAGGAATAATGTATAGAAACAGTAATTATTCTTAAGAAAATGTCAAAGTTTAATTTGGACACACAAATTTAGATCATTTAAAAAATTACCCCCCCAATTATGACTTTTTCCAGATGCATTCAGTATCTCATAATAGTTCATAATAAGTGGATAGCCCCATATCTAATAAATTAGCTAAAATTAATTTAAGAAACTTAATCAACCAGGCGTGGTGGTGCACACCTTTAATCCCAGCACTCAGGAGGCAGAGGCAGGCAGAGATCTGTGAGATGGAGGCCATCCTGGTCTACAAGTGAGCTGGAGCTATAGGGAAATAGCCAGGCGTGGTGGTACATGCCTTTAATCCCAGCACTCAGGAGGCAGAGGCAGGCTGATCTCTGTGAGTTCAAGGCCAGCCTGGTCTACATAGTGAGTTACAGGACAGCTGGAGCTACAGGGAGACCCTGTCTCAAAAAGACCAAAAAAAAAAAGAAAGAAACTTAATCAGATATGTACTGATACAGAGCTTTTCAATAACAAAATTAATATAATTAATCATACACATATCTATATCCATATAGATATGTATACAGAGAGTAACAGAGAAATCTGTATTCAACAAATGAAATTCACATTATTTGTAAATATATGAACATTTAGGGGAAAATGTCATTTAGGCAGGGATCAGAGAAAAAATTTAATGCAAGAATAATAATTATTTGTTAAACAACATATAGCAAAATAAAAATAATATTAAGAAAAATATCAGAAAAAATATTCACAAAAGAGAAAAATTTTAAAGAATGGTCTGAATGTATAGGAAACATAATTAAAATTTTTAGCTTTGGAAATAAGCAGCAAGAACAGAATTACATAGCAAACCTTGTCCCAGCTACAGCCTTGTGAAAATGAATAGAGCACTAAATGCCTTTATTGAAAATAAAAATGAATTTAGTAAGTGGTAAATTTGGCATATACAAGAAGCCGAAAAGAACTCAGATATGCATACACAAAGATTTCTACTTCCAAGTAAAATCAAAGGAACCTAATTTACCATCCTACCTAAAATACTCAAACCAAATCAGAAATAAAAAATATAGAACAGTGGTTTTCATTAACTGGACATCAATGAATGAAGGACAACGTTCTCAGAGATACAAGAAACAAGGAATTAAGTCCAGTTTGCACTAACCTGCTCCAGGGCTGAGGAGTCTGCAGAGCGTAGCCCTCTCCTGACCTGAGGAGATGCTGCCGAAACTCTGGAACAGGAAGATTAAGAACTAGGGAGAACTAACTTGTGCAGGGTCCCTGCTCATGTATTCAATTGATGTGTCAGTGGCATGATGCCAGGCAGTCACTTGAAAAGGTGGGAGGGAGCTAGAGGGAAGTGATTACACCAGAGCATAAGGAGTCCTTTCAAGGGAGAAGGAACGTTTGCTATCTTCATTGTGGCCATCATTTCATAGGCATAAAGAGATGTTGAAAATTATAAAATTGTGCACATTAAATATGTGCCATTTACCTTGCATCACAATTTAACCTTGATACAGCTATCAAAATCTAGAGGCAAGTGTAGAAGACTATGCTGGTAATACCAAAAGATAAGTAGAAATTAGTTGAACATGAGTCTTTTTGAAGCATCAGTAGGATCAGCTAACCTACTGGGTTTTTTTGAAAATTATTTTTATTGTTAATTAACTTTTAACCACTTTCTCATTATCTTATTAAATGTACTAGTTGGAAAAAAAGTTGTATACAATGGAATTTTCTGAAGAAACAAAACCTACAATTATTGACATAAAACCTCCCTAGAAGTCATTGCTAGTTTTTTGGAAAATTAGGTCATAAGACAATGTACATGCTACATTTATGTAAACTATGGAAGGTATTACATGCGTATGTACACCTGTGCAGAAAGACTTAAAAAATGGACTAGAGCTGGGCGTGGTGGCACACGCCTTTAATCCCAGCACTCAGGAGGCAGAGGCAGGCAGATCTCTGTGAGTTCGAGGCCAGCCTGGTCTCCATAGAGAATCTAGGCCAGATGCAGCTCCAGGGAGACCCTGCCTCAAAAAGACGATAAATAAATTAAATAATAAATTAATTAATTAGAAAAAAGAATGGACTAGGGTAGCGTACGTGCCAAACTCTTGGTTACAGTTCTGTGACAGAACCGAGAAGTACTGAATGAAACATTCATGTAGTTTCCATGTATCTCTGCATGTTACTCAAGTCTTCTACAAAAAGGCTTGTCTATCATATAATGCACAAGAAAACTGAATGAACAGTACAGCTTAAAACTTCACAAACTAAATATAATTAGATTTCATTTATGTGACCCTCTGTTAATCGTTTTCTGTTATGACAGTGAATGCTAATTACCTTACCTCAGTTTCTATTATGTGACTCTTGAGAGTAATTTTCATATATTTATATTTTTATGTCTGTTTTTTAATCTTTTGTAGGCTCTTGTGAGTGAGTGGGATCAAAAGTTAAATCTCTTTTCTTATACCCTGGAGGAATGGATGCACTGTCAAAGAAATTGGCTTTGTCTTCAACCAATCTTTAATTCTTTAGAAATACAAAAGTAAGAAAATTTAAAAATACCATATACAGGTAAAAAATACATAGTGGGAATTTTGGTTTCTATAATCTTTGAGAAATCATCTCTTCAATTAAGTAAACAAATCCAATCTAGCGTAGTTTGAATGAGCAATGTCCACACAGGATCACAAGTTTGAATATGTGGTCCGGAGCTGGTGGTGCTGTTTGAGAAGGTTATGGAACCTTTAAGAAGTGGGGCTTGCAGGAGGAAGTGAGTCACTGAATGTGTTTAATAGCTGTTCCCACTTCCTGTTCATGTTGTGCTTCCTGACTGTGGATACAACGTGACCAGCCAGCCTCCTGCTCCAGAAGCCATGTCTTCCCAAGCATGATGGAATATATCCCTTCAAACTGTAAGCTAGAATAAACCCTCCTTCCCTCTCTCCCTCCCTCCCTCTCTCTCTTCCTCCTTCAACTTCTTATTGTCAGGTATTTTGTCATAGCAGCAAGAAAAGTAACTAACAGACCATCTGTACATGTAAGAATGTCACCTGTTAAGCAGTTATTTCCTCATTTATCAAATTACAAGAATCTTTATTTTTAAAAGCTTAATTTTCTTAATTGCCAATATAAAGCCTTAAAAAACTGAAATGCCTCCAATACATCATTATAATCCTTAAGCCACAATATTATGTGGGAAGATTAGTGTGGTTTTGATGTGAATAATAAATATGCTTAGTAGCATTCATACATTGATAAGAATTTCTCTGAACCAGGTAGAAAAGAGGGACTTGGCATTGAGAAACATTTCATTTTCCATTTCATTCATAACACTTAAACTAACTGCTTCTAACCTTTAAAAGTGATTAGTCTTGAGATTGCTTAAGTTGAGACAAATGAGTTATCTAGGCAGAATTTAAACCACTGACCTAGAAGCCATTCTGAAATAAGGTAAGAAATCATGGAGTATGTCATTGGAAGGCCTTAGAGTGGTTGGAATGATTACCAAGTTAAATACTGTGAACTTTTAGGAGGAGCAAAGGAAAACTGCTAAATGTTACAAAGGAGAATTGTTCAGATGTAACTATTGCTTTATAGGGAACAATATTTATGTTTGCTACACATGTATAGTTCTTGTTATATGAATGCTTGGCATTTTTGTGTTACCCCATAGTTTCTCTGAAATCCACATACCTAAGAAGTATACCATTTTATGTTTGCCACAGCTTTGATCTTTAAGTCCAAGATGTAAATACTGTTTCTTACTAAAGGTCTTTTTTTAATTAATGGAGAGACCAGACTCCTAGGTAAGAGAGTTTGAAACATCACTAAGCTGTTCTTTTATAAAATTTGTTGAGATCGGAAAGGTGGCTTTTAAGAGATGCTGGAGGTATTTATACAGTAAGTCTAACATAAGAAAAACAATGAATCAGTAATAGACTTTTAACTAATGGAGAAGGATGAGATCAAATACCAGGGGGAAGGGTGTGAAGAAGAGAGGAACATGAGGTTCATCAAAGGGAGAAATCTAAAATGGGAATTTGTGAGAGTAAAGACTATTGTAAGGACTGTGTTAGAACCTCCCAGAGAGATAGGAAGGGTCCTTAATGGGGGTGGGGGAGTAGTTCAAAGTGCCTTCTGTGATGGGATTTTTTTTTTAAGTGATAGAAATGTATTTCCTCACAGCTCCAGAATCAAGGTATTGGCAGGTTTGGTTTCATGTAAGACTCCCCTTACCTTATAGATGGCTACCAGACTTTTTCTTCTGTCTTCACAGCGTCTTTCCTTTGTATGTGTCTGTGACCAAATTTTCTCTTCTGACAACACTAACCATACTATATATGATGGGATTTTTGCTGAGTTGCAGAAACATTCAACACCATTACCCAAGATGGGAAATAGGATAATGGTGAATACTCATTGTCTTAGAGTATGGGAATATTAAAAGTTAGGCCTCTTTGTAGGAGAATTCTGAGGAAGCCTTCAATGGCTGCACAGGGAAGACATACACAAATACATGACTATCTTGGACCAGTGGTTCTGCCCTTCCAGTAGAGCATTTTCCAAAATCCTGAAGCATTCATTGTTGTCATAAAGGAAGGGTTACTACTGGCATCTAGTGGGTAGAGACCAAGGATGCTGTTAAATATCCAACAATGCATGGAAAGCCCCCACCATAAAAAAAAATTAACAGGTAAAAAATGTCAGTAATGCTGAAGATGAGAAATCCCAATAGAGACAGTAGTGATAGATGTTTCCAAACTAGAGTTATCTAGAAAGATCTCCAACCTGAATGACTGTTAATCACAACAAAGGAATTCCTGAAGAATATCACTTGTAATAGGAGCCTGAAAATTGGTTGTAAGAGGTCAGCTGGAAAGAACCAGAGAATGGAGCAGTACAGTTCCTGCCGAGGGGACTCAAAAAGCCCAGCAATGCATTCCATAGATATTTGCCATTCCAAAAGGTATTTAAGAAGCAAAAGAAGACTCAAGGTGACACTAGCTGAATGAACAACAATAAAAAGCTTTCCCTCTGATTTCCTTCCTACCTCAACTTGCAAACCAGGAGGAGCTCGAATCAGGTTGGAGCCATTGTAGATGGGAGTGGGACTATAAGTGAGCAGAGAAAATGCAAGAACATACAACTCTCTAAAATATTTCCCCCATTCAACTCCAGTAGCAGCAGAAACAAACTTAAACATCAGTTGATTGTGCCACACATGGGTTTGGTTGCTCTTAGCCAAGGGTTAAAAATAAATATACTATTCTGCAAAAGAACATTTCTATATCAGGTCTAATACCTGCCTTACATTTCCTTATCATCTTATTAGAAATAAAAGCTGAGGTCCACTCCATCAAACTACAGAAAGAACATGCCACCAAAGTGAAAGTAACTCGGCAAGGCAGATTTTACTTTTGCAAAAGGGTGTCTTACGTAGTCGGTCAGATGCAGCAAGCACACAGGACTTGGAAGCTTGGTGGACTTTAATCCCTAACTCAAGAGGACCATGTCTTCTCCCCATTGGCTGGGATCTGACCTCATAGTCTTTCCTGGTTGGCTAGTTTAAAGAATGAGTGCAAAGGGAGAAGGGCTTCAACACCCCAAGCCACCAAGCTCAGTAATGCATCAAGGCATTTCTTTAAACAAAAATCTTACACAGTGTGGTAGGATTAAAAGATTAGAATTCCCTGTCAAAAACCAAGTTCCAGGTTTTATAGGGTTTGTTTGAAAGAAAAAACTAATATTTAATGATCCTTAAAATATCAGGTTGCTTTAATCAGCCACAGAACTGAGGTTTTATTATTACGCTGCAGTACTCCTGCTCCTGGACTGAATGTTCCCTGTGCCTGCACTTCAGCATCATGTATCTTTCAAACCCAGATCCTGTTGCTTCTGTAAAGAAGCTTTCCTAGGATCCCAGTGAAGTTTCTTTTGTTAGTTGGCTTTTCTGCTGCTGTGACATAATACCTGAGTGACTCAACTTATGAGGGAGAAAGGCTTATTTTGGCTTATAGCTTTGAAGGTTTCAACCCATGGTTGTTTCACTGGTTGCTTTGAACCTATGGGAAGCAGAGTTCATCATAGCAGGAACATATGACAAGAGCGTTTCCCCTCATGGTACTGTGGCCAGGAACAGAGAGACAAAGGAGTTGGAGTTTAAATGTCTCTTTCAGGGCACACGCCGATGGCCTAAGTTTCTCCTATTAGGGCCCCACCTCCCAAAAGTTCCACCACTTCCTATGGTGTCAGGGGTTGGGGACACAATGGAAACTGTAGTCCTCTAGCACACAAATAGCTTTTATTTATTTTATATAGAATTTACATCTATTTTCTGCTGTTCATTAAGTATAATATTTTTAAGTGATAGTTACATGTATAATTTATCCTGTTTTTTTTTTCTTGCCATATACACTGCTTATAAAAAATAGACAAGATCTTCTATGGCTGATCAAAGAAAGGAAATGTATCAAAAATTGTCTTATAAACTCAACTTCAACAATGTTTTGTGGCAAATGCATTTAAATTATAGATTTTAATTATTTTAAAGAAATATTTACATCTAATCTTTATTTTTAAAGGGAGCTCCCAGCAGAAACAAAACTTTTCTCCCATGTGATTGTCATGTGGAAAGAGATAATGTCAAAAGTACAAAACAAACTAGATGCTTTGCATATAACCATCTCTGTAGGAGTCCTTGAAATTTTGAAAAATTGCAATATACATCTCGAATACATAAAGAAAAGTCTTGAGGTAAAACTATTGCAATCCTAAAGTGCAGTCATGTAGCTAACAAAAGTGCTGTAACATACGGCAGAAACTAACACCAGTGCAGACTTCCTTCACTCTCAGTGCAGCAAGTTTTCTAACCCTCACTTCCATTTTTGACTTAATGAAAACACTACTGTTGCTAAAAGGGGAGAGGCCTTCCCTTTTCCTCTATAGTCCTGACAACAAACCAAGGTACGACTCCAGTGAAGTTCACCCAGGGCAACCAATGACTTTTGGGGGCTTACTTGCAGAAAGCCTGGATGAAGGGCTGCTTACAGGAGTGTGGCTGCTTCCCCCTCTAATGCCACACTGGAAAGTCTGCACACAGTGTGAATGATTAGCATTCCCATGGCCTCATAGATGGAGTCCCCTCCCTTAGTCCTTCCTAGCCTAAATACTCTGGTCCTGCCCGGAGGCCATGTGCAGTTAGGGCAGAATTGCACACAACTGGTTGGAAGGAGTGACTAGATACTCAGGTGAGGGTTCCATGACCCTCCCAACCCTCCTTTTATGTGAGGATGTCAACACTCAACAAGCCTAGCTGTGATAATCCTTTGTAAAGGGTTACAACTGAACTCCTGAAGATGGCCTCTGTGTGGCTCAGAAGATAGTCCTGTAGTACAACTACCAAATGTATGACCTCATCTAATTCTCAAGCAAAGACCCAAGCTTTTAAATACTGATGCTTTTTGGGTTTTTTGGTTTTTTTTTGGGTCTTTTTGAGATAGGGTCTCCCTGTAGCCCCAGCTATCCTGAAACTCACTATGTAGACCTGGCTGGCCTTGAACTCACAGAGATCTGCCTGCCTCTGCCTCCTGAGTGCTGGGATTAAAGGCGTGCACCACCATGCCCAGCTAATGTTCTTTTATCTTTAAGTTGAGACTAAAAGTACCCCCCCCACCAGCTTTGTGATGATGAGGTTGTGTTTAGTTATTTAATGAGGATTCCTTCTTTTGTTAATAGCCCTGCTATTACTAAGTTGATAGGTTCAGCAAAAGCTGAATAGCTCTAGAAACTTATAAATTAAATTACTAATTCCATATGTATTTTTACATTGCCGGAACATTAAATTGTTGGCTAAGCATTTATATCATTAAATACTGGGTTCTAATACTTGAGTTTCACACTGTGAGGTATGTAGTCACCTCACTTCATAAACCACGATTTTTTTTTTTTGAGGCTTTTATCACTTTTCCTTAGCGCAAGTTACAGTAGTTGTGATTACCCCATCAAAATATACTCAAGCAGTCCCAGCCTACAGGAAGCTCTTTACCTAGGCAGATTCTATTTGTAGAGCTTACGGTCTGGAGAGGCATAAGAAGCTATACCCAGAATAGTGCAGTTAATACCAGTTTATGAGGCAATCACTATGACAATCTTCCCAATTATTTCTAGCATATCTTTGGATTATTTCAAACCAACAGTCTTTCATTTAGTCATGTATTGAGTACCTGCTTTATACCTGTCACAACTGCTAAGTGTTTAGACTACAAAGATAAAAAGATATTTGACTATTACAGAACTCAAAATCTATCATAGGGGAAAAGTAAAGACAATGTGCAATGTGATGGTTGGTTGGCTAAGATGACAGTATTCAAGGAGAGGAGGCCCCATCACCTTTCCCACCAGTATACTCACTCAGCCTGGGAGAAGTTCTAGCTGATCTGGGGCTTAAAAGAAGTATTGATATCAGCTAAGTAAGAATCAGAATAGCGGAAAATAAGAGGGTGGGAAGAGCCACAAGTGAAATGGAAGAAGTGTGAGATGCAGAGCCATGAGCACATCACCACAGGCAGAACCTGGACCTCCAGTGGAAAGTAGTGGGGAGAGAGGAGATTCTCCCAGGGAGCTAGGGACAGCTGGTAAAGGGCCTGGAGTACCACAGTGAGTTTTGACGTTTTCAGGAGGAGCCACCAAAGGATTTTAAGTAGGAGAGTGAGATCGTCTATTTCAGAAATAGATACCACAGTAAAGCATCACCATGTGCAGTACACTGCCTTAGCTTGTTTCCCATTGCTATGAAAGATACCTAATTCTGAAGACTAGGGAGTCCTAGAGCATGGAACAAGCATCTGTCGAGGGCCTCAGCCTGCTTCGTCTCAGGACAGAAAAGTGGAGGGCAGCTGGTGCATCTAGGTGAGGAGAAACACAAAGGACAGCTTTCTGACACGCTGCTACAGCAGCAACAGCCTGTCCCACCAGAGCAAGAGCTCCATTTGCTTCTGTGAGACTTAACCCTTCTTGGAGGTCCCACTATCTCTCACCACCATGTTGGGAAACTAATTTCAACATAACTATCCCTCCAGGTATAGAAGGACAGTGTGTGAGTCTGGATTTGTTTGGTCTGGTATTGAGGGGCCACATCTGGTGATATTCTCTCTCTCTCTCTCTCTCTCTCTCTCTCTCTCTCTCTCTCTATCTGGATTTGTTTGGTCTGGTATTGAGGGGCCACATCCGGTGATATTCTCTCTCTCTCTCTCTCTCTCTCTCTCTCTCTCTCTCTCTCTGTGTGTGTGTGAGCTTAACTCAAACTCACTGTTACTACATAGACCAGACTGAACTCGCAGTCTTCTGCCTCTGCCTCCCAAGTGCTAGCATTATAGGTGTGGCCACAACCTCCAGATGTAATGGCCTTCCTGCTGGTAGTCTCAAGGCAGCATATGGTATCACGTGGAGGGCACATGTGTGTCTGTGTGTTTTCAGATCTTTTAGATCTTTCAATTATAGAGCTCCATCCTGATGAGCTTATATAGTTTATACAAATCACTGCCCCACACCCGAGTCAGATTAAGTTTCTACCATTTTCATATCACTACCACATGGGGATTAAATGTCAACAGTGAAGCCTTCTGAAACACACTCAAACCATATCCAGACCATAATAGGCAGTGAGATCATCTACTAGAAGTCTAGGTAAAGACTAGAAATACTCAGTAGCTAACATGACACTATAATGAGGATGAAAGAAGGCAGAAGCAGGAACGTCATCTGGGCAAATAGAAAATGAAAGAAAGTTCCCAGGTTTCTGACCTGGTCAGCAAAGCAGCAGTTACTCACAAAACACACAGTGTTACTAAGCTGAATTCGTTTATAACTGAATAAACAATCAGCCTGATTCTTAGCGTTAAGTTTTAATAGCAAAGTAGATGGGCCCACAGAGAGCTTGTTCCTTCAGATCTCTCTTAGAACTCTCCCCAGTCAGGCCTAACCCATAATTTTATTCAAAACCATTTTCCAGCAACAATTGGAGTACTATAAGCTTAGATCTACCCTTATCAGAGAATCTTAGATTGCCCTTTGATCTCTGGGCCTAAGATATTTCACACACACTTCAGTTACTCTGTTTCACTGTCTTGGAAGGAAAATTGGGATTCCTCTGTGTATCACCCCAACCCCCAGCCCAGGTCTCAAGAGCAGATGGCTCAGTGAGCTTGTTTGCATGAAACAGCCTTTGGTGCAAGTTTGAGTAAAAGTCTTCAGTCAAGAAGTCATTCCTCCAAAAACAGGTGGGAGCTAGAGGAGGCCTGTGTGGAAACACGCTTTGTGCATACTAAAGATCTAAAGGCTTTCGGGACATTGAACTGAGCATCTTCTCCTGGCTGTTGGGTACAATGGCTTCCCCTTTTCCACAGTTTTACTGCCCACTGTTTCAGTTACCCTTAGCGCACTGTAATTGGAAGATATTAAATTGGAAATCCCAAGAACAATTTTTAAGTCTTAAATTACCAGTAGTTCTCAGTAGTGATGCAATTTCAGTCCATTCCATTCAGAACATGAAAATCATCCTTTTGTCCAGTGTGCCCACATTGTACATGCATCCTGCACCCCATTCATTTGGTCGCCTCCTTGGTTATTAGATCAGTTGTTGCAGTATCACAGTGCTGTGTTCCAGAATTACATGGGGTTCACAACTACCCATGGTCCCAGGCATCCAGAAGGATCTGATCTGTAGATGAGTGGCTTCTGTGTATGGATCTGGCTGGAGAGTGGTCTGAGCTAAAGACCAAGTGGTTATCTGTCAAACAGCTCAAAAGCATCACGAGTAAAGGAGTGTTGAGGATAGAACTCAAGAGGTGCCAGTGTTAAGCAGTAGGGGACAAAGGGCTCTTGAAAGAAAATATCAGGTAGCTGAGAGATGGCAGAAAAGCAGAGTGCTGGGGAGATGATCCATCAGTAAAGTACTTGTTCAACCTCAAGCCCTTGAGTTCAGAGCCCCAGCACCCACATAAAAGTCAGTGGTGTACATCTAACTCTAGGTGGGGCAGTGGTAATGGTGGGGGCTAGAAGCAAAGACAGGTGGATTCCTAGAGCTTGCTGGCCAGCCTGTCTAGCTCGAGATTCACTGAGAAACCCTGTCTGAAAAAATAAAGTGGAGATCGATAGAGGAAGACATCTGATGTTAACTTTTGGCCTCACAAGTGAGTGTACACCTGCACCCAAACACACACACATGCATACACTAAAAATGTAAAATAATTTTTTAAGGAGGACAGAGTCAACAGTCAAAAGCTGTGGAAGTTCCCCGAAACATAAGGACTGAGATACCCCTGATAAACTCCTTAGGGCCAGACAGCAGCACGAGAGAGGTCTGAATAAGCAGGAATTTTGAGTTAATAAACTCTGTTTTCAAGAACTTTGAGATGGGTGGGAACGCAAATAGCTAGAAGACACCACAGTGAGGAGGGGGCCTCCTATCTTTTTGTTCTTAGAGAAATTTAATGGAAAGTGGAGGCCTGCTGCAAGGCCTAGGTTGAAAAGAGGCGTGAAGATAACGGTGTCTTAGGCTGGCATAAAAAAGTGGTTATCTCTTTCTGAAAAGAAGGAAAGATGAAACTAGAATGAAGTTGTGGGGAGGGATGGGACTCGTAGGGACTCGGTGTAGTACAATGTGAGATCCTCTGTGGAGTGCCATGTTCTCTTGGTGATGACGTCATAGAAACAGCAGAAAATTGCAAGTGTGGGAAAGTAATGCTAAAAATACCCAAATGCGCTGCCTCATTATGAGAACAGGGTGTGTAAGTAAATGTGGGTTGTTTTTTCTTTGTCAGCTTGCTTTTTAGTTTTCATTTGTTTTAGTTTTGTTTTATTAAAAAGTAGCTTAGCAGGGCTAGAGAGATGTCTCAGTGGTTAAGGGCAAGTATGGCACTTCCTAGGCCCCAGGTTTAATTTTTAGCATCCACAAGCGGCTAACACCTATCTTTAATTCCAGTTCCAGTGAATCTGACACCCTCTTGTGGCCTCCATAGGCACCAGGCACACGTGGTACACTTACATACATGCAGGCAAAACACCTCATATACATAAAATAAAAAATAAAATCTTAAGGGCACTATATGTGTGCTGTGCCAGTGGAGGCCAGAAGAGGGCATTGGATTTCCTGGAACTGGAGTTGCAGATGGTTGTTAGCCACCGTGTAGGTGCTGGGAACTGAACAGCCAGTACTCTTTTTTTTTTTTTTCGTTTTTTTTTTTTTAAATAATTTGAGAATTTCATACATGCATATAAAGTGTTTTGATCAACTCCATTGCCCATTCCCTCACCTCCAACTCCTCCCATATCTCCCATCACTTTTTTCTGATAACTTCATGTACTATTTCTTCTTCTTTGATTTATTTATTTTTATGGGGCTTTCAGCTACTGTAACATTTCCCCCCTCTAAAGAGGTATACCTAAAATCTTTTAAGGATTAGATACAAGCTCCCAAATACTTTTGACATTTTTGGCCTTTGGAACAAAGTATGTTGCTAAAAGGCCCAAGAACAGTGTGAGTTTTAGCCGAGAAACTGGATACTTTTCTTTGGGATCTTTTTACCCTTAAACTGCTTACCCTATTCTTATCACACCATCCTCTGAAGAGGTTACCCAACTTGCAGATAGAGAATTTTGACACAGACTGCTCTGGCTTCTTCCATCCTGAACAGGGACGCAGGGTGAGGCAATTGGGGTACCCTTGAATCCTTAATAGAAGATGTGAAGGACAAGTAAAGGCAAGAGAAATTAGCATAACAAGTTCTAGACAGGGAACTAGAAAAAAGTCAGAACAGGGCAATTTTCAAATGTTCATATGAGAGTCCACTGGAGTTTCTTGACAAGGGCTTCCAAAAGCATGCCTTTATTGGGTCCTCCTCATTTGTCTTTTGTTTTCCAAGGCTGGAATTGAGAGTGATGGATTCAGGATTTGTTTTCACGTATTTTGATACCTGTTGGAGTGGTTACAATCAGTGTCAGTTCCCTCTCAAAGGGTTCAATAGGGGGAGAAACCAAATTTATCCATCATTTTAGAACAATATCTGGTTGTCTCCCTTAGCTGCAGGTGGGCACTACAGTATTGGAGACTAAGATTTGAAGTCTTACATCTGAGCAGCACTTTCTGATTAGGAGCAAATCATCAATGAGAAATAATTGCCTAAATAACTTTTTTTTTTGTCTTTTTGAGACAGGGTCTCCCTGTAGCCCCAGCTTTCCTGGAACTCACTATGTAGACCAGGCTGGCCTTGAACTCACAGGGATCCACCTGCCTCTGCCTCTCGAGTGCTAGGATTAAAGGCGTGTGCCACCACGCCCGGCAGAAATAATTGTCTAAATAACTTTTTATATAGTCTTAAGCCTAATATCTGGGAAGTGTAATCCCTTGAACTCTTAAAGAAATACACTGATGACTTTACTCTTTGGTTATACTTTCCTTTTGGGTGTTTAAGACCATACAGTTGGCCCAAATAAATAATTTATTTTTACACTTAAGGTCATTTGAGGATCTGTTCCTCAGGGGTCACATAGGCTTAGGAGGAGCTTCTGGCTCCTTTCTTTTACCAGTTCCATCTATGTGAAGATAAGTCAAAGGTCCTGCACAACCATGTCTAGCAGCCAGTACTCTTAACTACTGAGCCACTTGTCCATAGCTCAGCATTCACTGAGCATGGCTATAATTTTGGCTGGAACTGCTGTGCACACTACACCTTTAACACTGCAGGCCCCAGTGAGCTTGTGATTCCCATCATGGTTAGGTGTGATTCTGAATTACATTTCTTCTGGCTTTGGACAGGATTACCTTGAAATTAAAAGGATGATTTTCCCACGATTTTACTTTCTCAGCAATGCCGAGCTTCTCAATATTCTAGCTGGCAACGGAAATCCTGAGTATGTGCAGGTGAGAGTGTTGTTCTGTTCCGTGTTGTTTCCTTACTTGCTCAGGGTTTTACTGTGTTGCTGACATATGTTTTCTGATTTATAGCCTCATCTTCTGAAATGTTTTGGAAATATAAAACACATGTTAATATGGAAACAAGAAATTGGCCCTCCTGCTATAAAAATGCTCATATCTGCCGAAGGAGAAGGTCTCGTGCTGCCAAAGTATGTGAAATATGCTAGGACTACATGCTTAGACTGTGACATCTCTGTTTCAGTATCTGCTCTGAAATCGCTGACATTTCATGTGAATTTGTTAGGCAAACTATTTGTTCAAAGACAATGTCCTTAAGCACATATGCTTCGGCCTTCCCCTCTGCAGCCCTCTTCGCACTTTTGCTTTTAAAACTCTGGATACCAATCTGCATCTACCTTTTACTCCATCATTAAACTCTGCCACAAGTTTCCATCTCTTTGAGTAAGAAGGAAATGGCTATTTTGATGTTGCTGGTCTTGTTTCTATTGAGGCTTCCACCTGCCTCTGGTTTCCCCATGGTGGGTTCTCAGGCAAATGCAGCAAGCCAGGGCCTTCTGTTCCACTGTCCTATGTACCAGCTCCAGCAAGGCCCTTGACCTCCAGCATTGGTACCTGGTACAGGTTTAACTGAAAAAAAAATTGCTGTACCCAAGCCTTCTTACCCAACAAAGCCCCTAGCCCAATTTAGGTATTTAAAAAGAGCATGGGGAATTCAAAAAATATTATTTATTTCTCATAAATTTAATATTTTACATGGAATCTAATTATTATATGTATTTCCTAGTTTTGATATCAGAATGCCCTAAACCTATGTTTTACAAATAAAAATCAAGAAAAAACTAGTAGAATATTACAGTCCTTCGACCCATAAGTAATATATGCATAGAAAATTTAATTTACAAGTTTCTCAAAGAACTGAGTTGTTAATTAATTGACATAATATTATAGTAATTTCATAATATTTTAAACAAATTGTAGGAAAATTCGAGTCAGAACTGCTGTGGAACAGTGGCTGGTAAATGTAGAAAAAAGCATGTTTGATGTGGTAAAAAAGTAAGTACAATTTTTAAATCTTAAAATTGTGTAATATGTGTGTATGCACACATACTCTCACAAACACACACATATATAAAACACGTGATTAACTACTAATGTAAGTGAATGTTAAGAGAAATGTGGAGTGGACTTTAATAAAGGATGATGGTGAGTGATGGGGAAAAAAATCATTTGTGACGTATACATAGCAGTATCAGTGTAATCATGGGCACCATTTGGGCTGATTTTGTTCACATGTATGTTAATATTCGTGGGCATCTGAAAACTGGCCTAGGACCTGACCTCAAGTCGACCTCTGCCTGCTTTTAAAAGATCTAGAACTCACTTCTTTGTATTTCTGTTGTACTTTTACTTCCTCAAATTGCTTTCTTGGTTTGGATTGTGGGGTGTGAGCAGTGCTGGGGATGGAACCCAGGGCCCTCCACATGCTACTTGAGCTTTTTTTAAATCTTTTATTTTTATTTTATGTGTATGAATGTATTGCCTGCATGTGTGTAAGTGCCCCCAGGTAGTGCAATGCCCATGGAGGTCAGAAGAGGGTGTCGAATCCCCTGAAACTAGAGTTTTGGACCATTAGTGGCCATGTGGGTGCTGGGAATTGAACCTGGGTCAGTGCTCTTAACCGCTGAGCCATCTCTCTAGCCCCGCTAGTCAGATTTTCTACCACAGAGCTAGTGTTTTAATATTGTCTTCTTTATTTTTTAATCTGATATTGCTATCTACTTACAGTGAAGAAAGTATTTCAAAATGTGAACTTTTAAAATGAATCTGACTAGAATAATTTTATTACATTTCTAATTATTAATAGTGGTTATGGAAAAGCTGTCTATATGTTTTCATACTGTATTTATTAATATTCTGAAAAACAATGCAAGGTCTTTAAAACTGAGCTGATTATTATTACTTACATAAAGTAATTATTGATATGTTGAGACTCCCTTGCCCTAGTTTCTATCCTTGGGTGGTAGGTGATATGATATGAACCAGACATCATCTTACATGCAAAAAGGCAATTTTGCAGACCAGAGACCCCTGAAAAAATGTGTAAGCATTTAGATAAGATAGGCAAGCCATTGCTCAATTATTGCCCTATGATTTTTCTGGCTAGACAGTCATCATCATAACAATAATGGTATTAATGTGCCTTTATTTGTAATTCTTTCTAAAATGTTACTTTTTTCATGATATTTTAGATGACCCATTTTATATAGTGTTTGAAAAGTATAGATAAGAGTGGCCATCTTTTTTGTTCATAATTTTTTGGGGACGCTTCTATCTTTGATCCTGATGCTTAGTTTCTGGAATGTACTCCTAATCAAAAGATCTCTTGTTCTGTTCACAATTTGAAAAACTATAAAATGTTCTATCTTAAATGGCAAATAATAGATGAAAATTATGAAATGATTAAATCAAGGTAATTAGCGTTATCTCCTTCATCTTTGGGGAAGTACATTTTTAAATCTATGGACATTATTAACTATAATCACCATGTTATATAACATCCCATGAATGATAGATTTTACATTTTATTTCTCCTTTTTTGTTTGATACAGACTTTTTTTTTTTTCTTTTGGTCTTTTAGAGACAGGATTTCCCTGTAGCCCCAGCTGTCCTGGAACTCATTATATAGACCAGGCTGGCCTTGAACTTACAGAGATCCACCTGCCTCTGCCTCCCAAGTGCTGGGATTAAAGGCATGCACCACCATGCCTTGCGACTTTTTATTTTTAATGTATGCTTTTATTGAATTTTTGTGCATGCATACAATAAATCTTAATCATATTTAGGCCCCTCCCCCTCTGCACTCTCACCCCCCCACTGGATTTTATGCATTCTATCATATATATTAAGGCCTGGATTGAGTCAAACTTTTGTACCCAGATATCCCTTGGTGTGTGTCCATCCACTGGAGTCTAGTCAACCTATCTAGGATCACATCCTAAAGAAGACCAAGTCTCCCTCACCCAGCAGTAACCAGTTGCCAGTAGTTCCTTGACTAAGGTTGGGGCCTGCTGCCCATGAGTTCTGTACCCTTTGACCAGCATCTCTCCATTTTTCATCCTTTGCACACATCCCCTTCCCTCTGCTTCTGGTAACCACCTTCCTACTCCCTAATTCTATGAATTTAATTTTTATATCCCTCATAAAGATACAAGATCATTCAGTGTTTTGTCTTCTTAGACCTGGCTTAATTCACTTAGAATGTGTCTCTCCAACTCTATATATGTTCAAAATCTGAGTGGTATTTTGATAGAAGATAGATGATGATGATAGATAGATAGATGGATAGATAGATAGATAGATAGATAGATAGATAGATAGATGGTAGATAGATGAAAAGTAGATAGGTAGATGATAGATGTCAAATTTTCTGTGCGTATTCATCCGTTGATGGGCACTTAGTTTACTGCCATATCTTAGTCAGTGCGCATGGTGCAGCAGATGTCCCTTCAGCATACTGATTTCCACTCCTTTGGCTGTATTCCTGAAAGTGAGCTTCTGGGTCATATATTAATTCCATTTTCAGTTTTTTTAAGGAATTTCTACAATTTTCCATAATCACTGTATTTTCATTCTTACCTGTGGTGCTTGGGTCATCTTTTCTGCACATTGTCACCACTTTTTGTCTTTTGTCTTTTTAATAACCTTTCTAACAGGTGCTCAATACCACTAGTTGCTAGGGAAACTAATGAGTTACTATATCACCGTAGTTCTAGCATTTCCCTAATAATACTGTTGTGCCCTCTCACATGGATTAATATGTTAGCCATTTGTATGTCTTCTTTTGAGTAAGTCTATTCATGTTCTTTGACAAATTTCTAATTGGCTTGTTTGTCATCTTGTTCTGGTTAGTGTCTTGTATATTTTGAGTATTACCCTAGTGTCAGATACATAGTTGGCAAATACTCTCTTCCATTTCATGGGCTGTCTCTGCTCTCTGTTGCCTGTGCTGTGCAGAAGCTTTTCAGTTTGAATCACTCCTGTTTATTTTCTTTTGCTTTTGTTGCATGATTTCAAAGTTATATCCAAGAACATTTTGATAGATCCATGTCATGAAACTTTCCCTATATATTTCTTCTAGTGGTTTTATAATTTCAGGCTTTATTTTTTATTTATTAAGCCTTTATACCATTTCGAGTTGATTTTTGTGCATGGGATGAGAGAAGGCTCTAATCTCATTTTTCTGCATGCAGATACTCAGTTTTCTCATTTATTGAAAAGACTTTCCACACACACACCCCATTGTCTGTTCTCGTGACATTTGTAGAAGATCAACTGACCATAAATGTGTAGGTTTATTTCTGGGTTACCTGACCCATGCCATATGAGTCTGTTTTTATGCCAATATCGCATTTTTTTGTTGCTATTGCTTAGTAATAGATTCTAAGTTAGGTAGTCTAATGCCTGGGCCTCTTTGTTGTTGTTATCATTATTTTTGTTTTGAAATAGGGTCTTGCTATGTGCCCCAGCTTCCTTGAACTTGTGATCCTCTTGCCTCAGACTCTTGAGGGCTGGAATTACAGTCACATGCTAACATATCCAAAAAGATAGCCTTGTGGTTCTTGCTTAGAATTAAATTGACTGAATGAATCTTTTGTGATCCTATATGAATTTTAGGATTTTTTTCTATTTCAATGAAAAATGATATTGGGATTTTGGCAGAGATTGTGTTATATCACTTTGGATAGTGAGTCAGTTTCCCATTACTAAAAAGGGTTTTAAAATATTTTTAAAGATTTTATTTATTATTTTTATTTTATGTATATGAGTGTTTTACCTGTGTTTAAGTGCAACCATGGCATGGAATGCCTGCAGAGGTTAGAAGAGGGAGTCAGATCCCCTGGAACTGGAGTTATAGATGGCTCTTAGCCACCATGTGGGTGCTGAGAACTGAATCCAGGTCTTCTGCAGGAGCAGCCAGTATCCTTAACCACTGCGCCTTTTGTGTCTTTACCTTGTTTGGGCATTAGAGTGATACTGGCTTCGTAGAAAGAATTTGGGAGTTCTTCTGTTTCTATGGTTTTGAATAATTTAAGTAGTATTAGTTGGAGGTCTTCTTTAAATGTCTGGTAGAATTCTGCTGTAAATCCATCTGGGCCTGGACTTTTTTTGGTTGGGAGGCTTTGTATTACTGTTTCAATTTCCTCATATGTTATGGGTCTGTGTAAACTGCTCTTCTCTTCTTGGTTTAACTTTAGTGGTTCCCATTATTTTAGATACCCATCCGTTTCTTTAAGCTTTTCAAATTTAGTGGAGTAAATGTTTTTAAAATACTCCCTTATAATGGTCTGGATCTTTTGGGTGTCTGTTGTGATGTTTCCCCTTTCATCTCTGATTTTGTTGATTTGGATTTGCTCTTTATTTCTTTTGGTTAGCCAGGCTAAAGGTCTGTCAAACCAGCTCTTAGATTCATTGACTCTTTGTATTGTTTTCTTTGTTTCTATTTTATTAATTTCTGCTCTGATTTTTGTTATTTCTTATCTTCTGCTGGGTTTGGGTTTCATTTTTTCTTGCCTTACAGTGTCTTGAGTTGCAATGTTAGGTCATTTATTCGGGCTCTTTCTAATTTTTTTATGTAGGCACTTAGAGCTATAAACTTCCCTGTTAGGACTGCTTTAAAGTGTCCCAGAGGTTCTGTTGTGTTGTATTGTCCTTTTTGTTAAGTTCCAGGAATTCTTTTATTTCTTTCTTAATTTCTCCTTTGACCCACTCATTGTTTAGGAGTCTGTTGTTTAATCACCATGAGTTCATGTAGTGACTAGGGCTTTGTCCAGTGTTGATTTTGAGCTTTATTGCATTGTGGTCTGATAGAATGCATGGAATTATTTCAATATTTTTGTATTTATTGAGGTTTGTTTTGTGGCCCAGTATGTGGTCAATTTTTGAAAAAGTTCCATGGGGTGCTGAGTAGAAAGTGTATTCTTTGGTGCTTGGGCATACCATTTGATGTATGGTATCATTTAATTCAGATGTATCTCTGTTTATTCTTTGTCCAG